ACAACACACACACACACACACACACACACACACACACACACACACACACACACACACACACACACATACACACATACACACTCACACACAAACGCTAGTAGATACCTGGCCGATGGGTAGACGAAATCACTGGTCTAGAACAAGTGGAAAATACAGTCTAGTCTGGCAAAGGAGTTGCAAAACTGTAAACACCTGACCTTGTCATTGGTCATATAACATCAAAACAAGAATAATTAGTTTCAGATACCTATACAATTAAATTTAGACCTGTCTTAAAACGATTTGTTTCTTAAAGAACAACAAGTGTCCATAGGCGACAATTCTCCGTGAAGTTTTATATTTTGCAAATACATATGATCAAGAACACGACAAGCGTAAACAGATGAACAAAGTCTATATTCTATAACAAGTATTCTTTCATTTACATTTTTACATTTATTTGATAAGGTATAGTAGTAGGTGCAAACCATTCACAATCACAGTCACAAGAAGTCAGAATACAAACAGGTACTACGCAAACGATTATACACAACAACCACCTAATATCTGCTTTCAGAACCTACAGCTACTTATAATTAAGCTACAGCCTATTCCACAGTATTACAGAAATAGGGGTGTTTCTGAAATATGAACTTACCTCAATATAAAAACTGCTACGTTGAAAGGAAAACAACGTGCATCATCACGGACATAACGACACACCACATGCCCAATTACATAGAAATACAAGGAAGACAACAATGACTCTTTACTGCGAACGCATTGGAGAACGCCTCACCATTTCCACTACAGTCTACGAAACAGCTGTTTTTAAACAACAACCAAAATCCGTATCTGCCGGAAGAAAACCCTCCCCCCCCCGCTATTCAAAATAACGTTTTATTGCGGCCGGTCCCATATGCCTCTAAATGTACATTGACCACGAAAACTGCTACGAATATAAACAAGAAGCCATAGGTGACAATCCTCCGTGAAGTTTTATATATTTCAACAAAATCCCAAGCGTCAACGCCAGACCTACTGTGCAGACATTATAATTAGGCAACGGTTAATACAATGAGGGCGCGTCACAAGCATAAAACATACAAAGACCTAAATCCATTACTGCTCCCAGGGCGTGTAAAGATACTGTGCTTCAAGTTCGAAGTTCATTTTAATTACACACACACAATCATTGCATTCACATAAAGATCGGACTATCATGGTCGTGTCTAGTAACAAAGACAGCCCCATCGTCTTACCGTGCCTGTACCTAATTAAGCGCGCCTGGAACAGGCCAAATTCCAGCACCGCGAGTGTTACTACCGCCGGCCAGATAACCAGGATATCTGCTTAGAGTACCTCTGCTACCAGACAACTGCCTAAACCTACGGCCTATTCCACAGGATTGTAAAAGTAGGGATGTTTCTAAAATATGCATTTACTTCAATATCAAAACAGCTACGGTAACAATAAAAAGACGTGCATCATCCCGGACATAATGCCACACCACATGCGAAATTACACAGAAATGCGACGTACGGAAGAATGCGTTTTGGCTGCGAACATCTTCCAAAAAACTTGGCATCTCTTAAGCATGGGCAAAAACGTCTGGAACCACTTATCAAAACCACCCCGTATCTGCATGAAGTTCCACCCCCCACTGCTATTCCAAACAACGCGTTTTTCTTGACCATTTCAATTCGCCTCGTAATTGTACGGGTGCGTCTGCAGTATTACATTGACCGCGAAAGCAGCAACGGCGAAAATACACATTCGTGCATCAACACGGGCATGCCCGCAGACGGCGTATAAAATTGCGTGCCGATTACACAAAAAGAACCCAGTGTTTTGACTGCGAACATGAAAAATCAGCCGATCACAACACTCCGTCCGGAGGTCCTGACCTCCTTCACGGAGTAAAAATATAAAAATAAAAATACGTGCATTACCAAGGGCATATACAGACGTATACAGTTTCATGCCGATTAAATAAAGGGAACCCTGTGATCTAGCTGCGAACACGACAAAACGACTGCTCACAATACTCCGTCCGGAGGCCGGTCATGACCTCCTTAACGGAGTAATAATGGGGGTACACTTACTCTCTCCCCTCCCTCTCTCTATTCTCACTCTCCCTCTCTCTATATATATGTTTGTGTGTGTGTGTGTGTGTTTGCGTATAAGCATTGAGTATGTGTTTTTGTGTAAACACATTACGATACTGAGTAGCCTGCAAAATATGGACTAGCCACAACATCTTGATGCTTTTCAAATTACTTTTCAAAATTAAAAGAAATGTTAAAGCATTTTGGGTGTTATTTGGTATTTTATAAGTTTTAATAGAGGACAAAGAAAGACCTAGATTCACCTTACTGTCACCATTAAAGTCGCTGTACGTCGGTTGTCCGATCCCCCCGAACAGCACGGCGTCTTTGATGAAGATAAACACCGCTCGGAGGATGAAGGACACAAACAGGTGCAGGTGGATGTAATTCCGGATACAGTGGAGCTTCCTGACAACGGAAAAAGATATAGGGACATGAGCAGGTGTAGGTAGATGTAGTTCCGGATACAGTGGAGTTTCCTGAGACCGGAAAAAGATATAGGGATATGAGCAGGTGTAGGTAGAAGTAGTTCAGGATACAGTGGAGCTTCCTGACAACGCATAAAGATATGGGGACATAAGCAGGTGCATGTAGATGTTGTTCCGGATACAGTGGAGTTTCCTGACAACGGACAGCGGACTAAGATATGGGGACATGAGCAGGTGTAGGTAGATGTAATTCCGGATACAGTGGTGTTTCCTGACAACGGAAAAAGATATAGGGACATGAGTAGGTGTAGGTAGATGTAATTCCGGATACAGTGGAGCTTCCTGACAACGGAAAAAGATATAGGGACATGAGTAGGTGTAGGTAGATGTAGTTCCGGATACAGTGGAGCTTCCTGACAACGGACAACGGACTAAGATATGGGGATATGAGCAGGTGTAGGTAGATGTAGTTCCGGATACAGTGGAGCTTCCTGACAACGCACAAATATATGGGGACATAAGCAGGTGTAGGTAGATGTTGTTCCGGATACAGTGGAGTTTCCTGGGAAAGATATACTCGTAATGACACAAACAGATGCAGGTGGGGTACTGGGTAGAGTGGAGTTTTCTGAGACACAACATTTTTAGAGGAGACAAAACAGTTGTAGAGGATTGTGTACGGTATTTGCATACATTTGTATGAATCTATGTTTTATTAACGGTGACCTTGGCGTTGAAATTTGCATAAATGCATATATTCATCAAGTTATTTTCCACAAGCCGTGACAACAAAAGCATACGGTAGGTGTACATTCTATACACAATGAGATTTTATACAACTTACTGCAGGGCTAGACTTGCGCATCCCATTTTTTCCCTTGACCTTGATCCACTGTATAGCAGGACAAGATACAGATACCACGACAGACTGAGATATCAAAATATGTGGATATTTTCTTATACAAGTTACTGATGTTAGCGGTTTTGTATAAATGTATTGTCATTCAGTCTGACAGCTAACAAGACATCGTTATATCATTCCAAGCGCACACAGCTTTTGGGGTAACCTTCACAAGGAGTGAAACATCTTTATTTCTGACAGAATTTTACGAAAAAGAAACAGATGTTAGTACTACTGGTACTATTGGCAGAAAGGCTAATCTGGTATTTTTCAGGAAGAATGTCACGGTGCGATGAAATAGTGGATTATACAGACTGTATGTAATATTGACAGGAAATGTACAGTTTTAACTAGAAAGACCGACATTTGCTTTCGAGCAAATTCAGCATAGCTTCACCACACATTTTACGACATGACAGGGAAAGAAGAAGAATAGAAGGGAAACCATGTTTTACGTTGATATAACTATAGTATGAAGTGGCATATAACTAAGAATAAACAGTTGGATAGCTATCCCTACATTATTCATAAGGGTTTTTATTTGCATAATGAAAACTGTTAATTTTCAAGATAAAAAGGCGTTTATGCCCCACATCCCAATGCTTGAGCTGGAAAGTTTGACATACCTACCCAAACACTTCAATGCAGTACCTACTTTCAATATGGTATGGGTTTATGCAGATCTCCATGGAGTTAACCCAATTAAATCCCAACAACCAATCAGCAAGAAGAATAGAGGAAAGCTGCATGCCTATTGTTTCTTGCTGTGCATGCCAGCCTGATGACTCATGCATAGTCTTCCCCAACTATATTATACTAAAAACGTTCAAAAAGTCCCAAATTATAGAGGTTTAAGGGAGAGTAAGCCAAAAATCATAATGAATTGTTGTTGGAGGAGAAGAAGAAACATGAGGAAAAACAATATGTCTTCACCACCATAATGAAAAGAAAATTGCACGATTGTAAGACTAAGGTGAGATTATTCCGAATTTCTCCTTAGAAGCGTCAAGACTAGTATGGATGTTTTCTCTGGATCGTCCGAAGTGCGGAGTCTGAGAGAAGTTGCCGAATGCCGCCTCGTGGTGCTAAAGCCCACAACATGGAAATCCCTCCAGGCACATCCACACCCAGTTTATTTCGAGGTTCTTTCCGAGGTTGCACACCCTCACGTTACCAACTAGACAGCCTCTTCTAGGGAATAATTTTAAAATAGCTGCACACGTATATAGGATAGAAGGATATCTAATCAGGTACAAGGCCAACTGAGTTTTGTCGCGGACGAATTGTCGCAGAAAAGTCCGGTGGGGGGGGGGCAGAGGTGATAAATCAAGTCATACACTATTAACAATACAATTAACAAATGAATAAATATATGTTTCAAAACTCCGTATAGAGTGGGCGGCCCTGATGTGTGGCTGTAAGTAGTTCCAGAGCATCCGCGCAGAGTACCTCAAGAATCGTCTATACATTTGTACCGTGGCCGACAAGTACAAAATTTTACACCGCAACTTTTGGTGTTTTACACCGCAACTTTTGGTGTTTTACACTGCAACTTTGGGTGTTTTACACTGCAACTTTTGCTGTGTTTTACACTGCAACTTTTTCTGTGTTTTACACTGCAACTTTTGCTGTGTTTTACACTGCAACTTTTGGTGTTTTACACTGCAACTTTTGGTGTTTTACACTGCAACTTTTGCTGTGTTTTATACTGCAACTTTTGCTGTGTGGAAAACTTACACCCCTCCCCTTTTGTAATGGACGGTCCCCTGTCAGGTCAAAGGTGACAAAGATGGCGGCGGCCTGAGAGTCACAGTGTCGTGCTGTGACTGAGTCAAGAGTCAACACTTCATAATTGAAAATAAGTCTTTATTGCTTCATAGTACCATGTGGTGCCACATTTGACTCCCATAGGCCCAATATTACTCATCAAATTATTAGCGACCTTGCGAGTCCGAATTCTCTAGCTAGAAAATGTCACGTGACTCAAAGGCGGGGAAACGTGGAAGACGCATGCAAGCGAATACCGAGACGAAAGATCTACTCTACTCTACTCTAAGCGTTTATGACATCATGCCACGATAGTTTAAGCTAATTACATATTTACGCCTTCAGACAGACATCTGATCATTTCTATCATACCATGCGTCGACATCAACACGTAGCGGTGCAAACGTTACCAACATTCACTAGATATCAAACTAGTAAAAGTCTGGTATCAAGTTGGAACATGTATTCGAAAAGTAAGATTCACCATTTTATCGCAAAGTTTGTGTATCTTAGCATCCGTTTAAGTCACAAGCTGACGTCTAGGGACATTAAAATGAAGAAAAACCTTTAGAAAAAAACTAACGTCACAACGTCACAACGTAGCCAAGCTTTTCCTCTAAAAAACTTATGCACGAAAAGGATAACTCAGTCGACGTAGTTTGCATGCCATCGTTGTCACCTTTGACCTGACAGGGGGACCGTCCATTATAAAAGGGGAGGGGTGTAAGTTTTCCACACAGCAAAAGTTGCAGTGTAAAACACAGCAAAAGTTGCAGTGTAAAACACAGCAAAAGTTGCAGTGTAAAACACCAAAAGTTGACAGTGTAAAACACAGC